CTGCAATGCCAAAAGTAAAACTACATATGAAGCGAGAAAAAGCCAACGCAGCAGCGCGCTGGTTGAAGAGGAACGTAAAGCTGGTCAATAGTAGATGTATGGAGCTGTACAAGGCTAACATCGATAAAATAGAAGAAGTTTCTTCAGAACCTCATTTGGATTTTCCAAGCCCTAGATATGTCGACGAGACAACGGGTGCGTGTTTGGACTTTGGCCAAATCATCGCACGAAGCAGAAACCTTGTGGGTGTTCCAAGAGTTTAGCACTCGTAACTCGATAACATTTTCCTTGGTAAAAAGGAGGAGTTATCAGTTCGTCGGAATATTGTTTTTTTTTTATGTATGCTACCGAATAGCTTTGAACCACGTCAACCGATTTCGATAATTTTTTTTTGCATTGGAAGTGTCTCAGGGGTGGTCCCATACTAATCTGGCGTTTCTAAGGCGACAAGCTTGCCACAATCGTTAATTTTTCGCCCCTAATTATTTCGCTTATCATAAAGATAGAAGAAACTCAGTTGCATATGTTTTGCTGTAAGACACTGCCATTGCTATTCGAAAAATCTTTTCTCATGGCTGCTTGAATTTCCAAAAATTAATGCCATATTAAAATTTTTTGTATAAAACAATTTTTGTTTGTTTCCCAAATCAATAAAAAGATGAAAATTCTTGTAAAAATACCTCAAATTTGGGGGCTATTACAAAAATATAAGTGCTAAATTTAGCCTCAAAAATGCTTACATGGTCACACTGTTCAATGTCATGCCAACTAGTAACTCCCAACGACCCGTTTTTCAATAGTAGATATTTTTAATTCAAATATACACCTGCCATCAGCCGGTGTAAATACTTCTAGCCTCAAAAAGAAACAGCAATCAGGATCGAAAAATGCGGTGGTACACACTGTATGCAGAGTTGCAAACTTGCCGTCAGTTTCAACCGCGCGCTAATTAGTGCGCACTGGCACACATCGCAATGTCAGAGAAAGCCATGCACAGCTACATGGGACACAAAAATAAATTTAGCTTCATGTGTATTTTATTTAAATTCCACTTTTCATAATGTTTTTGTTTTTGTTGTGACGAAAAGTGAATCGCACAAGCGCCACCGAAACCACATCAAAACGAATAGGTGTACGAATACGAGCAAACCGGTTGCAGGATGCAGGATGAAGGTTGCCGAATTGGCGGTGCTTTTGGTCGGATGTCTGCCTGCATCGACGGCACGGTAAATCGAGCTTTTTGACTGCCACTTTAACTTTAGCTTTAGCTAAAATCAAAATGGAAATCTGCGAGAAAAAACGCTTTGAGCTGAAAATTGCTAGTATTACAGAATTGTGCGCGCGCACGCGTTTATGCATCGCTTATTCTCGGTGTATGTTAGTGGTGCAGTAACAGCCTCATCAGCCTCCAGGCAGGCTACTAATGCTACTAAATACTTTGTTACTATTTTCGCTACCATCTCTACTACTAATTACTTTCACATTATGCAGGCTATTTCGTTTTAATTACAAGAAAAGTGGGCAGCTAGCAAAAGGCAGCGGTGTAGTTTGGTGAAAACAACAAGTGCCACAACGTAAAGCGAAAGGCAGCTAATGGCAGGGAGGTGGTCGATAAGTGTGGTGCAGCTGCCTCCCTCCACCTCCCAGCAATCTCTTTAGCGCGTGCAACCAAACGTTAAGTGTTTGGCTGGTAAAAGGCTTTGATGTAAACTCTCCTCAATTCAGAATGCCTGCTTCGTCAAGTAGAAAACACCAAAAATATTGCACGGTGTCCCGCAAATGTGATAGTGAGAGCAGGGAGGCAACACTTTTGCTGTGACGAATATGGATATACAGACGCACATTTGTACACTTTATGGCCAAATCAGAAATTAAAGGTAATAGCAGGGATTTTGACGTAAGAGTGCGCCGAAGCAAGTGAGCACTATCGCTGCTTATTTGATTTTTTTCTTTTGCTTTGCGAAAAAGCTTTAAAGCATGTCTGAAAAAAGTCTACTTATGTGATGTGTGTATAGTAGGGCATTCAATCCGGGGATATCGGACACTTTGCCATGTCCCGAAATCTCGCGATTACAGCTCCGAGATTCCGAGCTTTTTACGGAATAAAAGAGATGTTGAAAACGAAAAAATTAACTCATTTGACAGGAAAAACGAGATATACAGAACACCAAAACTTTGATTCAAAGTGAACTTGAGCCATTTGCACTCGGATGCGAATTTCAGAACCTGCCTGAATAACTGTACTTGTTCAAACATTTTGTACAAGAACTGTGCAATAACGAAAAATCTGGTAGCAATTGAAAGCACAACAAGATTTTAGAGTGTGGAAGGGTTGTTCCTCTTTTTATTTTGTTGGTGTTTTATGGAAAATTAATTTCTGCAGATAATATAGATATTTAAGAATACTATATATTTATTTAGACATTCAATTACGAACACTTTTACTAAGGTGCATTATGCTTCCTGTAAGACCAAAAAGGGTGACAAGGAATCTGTGCGGTTTAAAATATGCCAACCTACTGTCTGATGCAAAAGTTTTGATAAAGTCGAAATCCCGGAAAATACCGGGATACCGGGATTAGCATTTTTGCATCCCGAATTCCCGGAAATGTTAAAGTGGAAGAGCAATCGCGTTCAAAGATTCCGTTGGATAATTAACTCCTTCATCTGTTTCCACAATTGTATATTTATGTATGTTATTTCCTCACGCAGGCAATGGCAAACCTCCGAGTGTTTTTCTGCCATGAAAAACTGCTTCTCATAAAAATACAATCGCCGTTCGGAGTCGGCGTAAAACTGTAGGTCCCTCCGCTTTGTGTGACAACATCAAGGCGCACGCCACAATTCGGAGGAGAAGCTCGGCCAAACACTAACATATGTGTAAGCGCCAATCTATTATATTATTATTATTTCCTCACTTTGAATGCTGGCTTGAATAGCATTATTGAGTTAATAGACATCCTAATTCTTCGAGGTACGAATAACTTGTTCACTCATCGTGATTCCTATAATTAATTTGAATATTAAGAAGCGTTCGATGAGCTCTTCTTTCGATGTTACTAAGTTAGAAAATTTATGAGGCAATGAAATTCATCCTGATCTCTCATCGACTCCCAATAGCCAGTAATTGTCCGAGAATACCTCGGCTGATAGATCATTCTGTAGCTGGACTCACATATTCGTAGTCAACTCCATCGCTCATCGCTCGATCTCTGTCTGTAGTACTCAACGTCATCGTAACTATGTATAATTGCAGATATGAGATGCTGATGAATAAATATAAATATATCTGCAGAGTCAAGTAAAATAAAATAGCACCCTTCTGAAAGAAAGGAAGTGTGTATTGAAAGCAGTTGAAATAAAAAGGCTTGAGTGGCTGTTACTCAAGAAATTTGTGTGCAAAATGGTCCTGAAAATGTTCGGAACTAGTCCCGTACTAGCCTCTTAATAATCGCGAGAAAGTCCCGAACTAACCACAAGCTAGTTCCGAACTAGTACCGAAATGAGAGGAGTGGGAGAGAGATTAGCGAGAAGGCAGATGAAGCGGTAGCGCAAGATGTGGCTCTTTTGCAATTTATTTACTGGGGAACTTTACTGGAGGAGTCATCCTCTAGCTGCTGGCCACCATGAATCCATGGATTCTTGTTTGGCTTGTAAGCCGTAGCTTACTACCGAGCTCCAAAGATTACTGCGGCATGGGAGTGTGGGAGTTAGATTTACATATATATATTAGACTGCATCAGTCCCCACACACAAAAAAGGCGGTACTGTGTTTCCATTGAAATTATAAAATCTATTATATTCTAAAGAAATATAATAAGATTTACATGAGCTGAACCGATTTGAAAATCCCACGAAAAAGATATTTTTGATAAAAATCCCCTAAATGACAAAACGGTTAAGACTTAAAAAAATTTACATAAAAATATTTAAAAATATATAAAAAAGAAAGATGAAAGAAAATATTTTTAAATATTTTTATGCCGATTTTGTAAGCTTTATCTGTTTTGTCATTCGAGGGTTTTTTTCAAAAAGTTCTTTCAGAAACTATTTGTATTCATAAAAAACTCCATTTTTGGAAGTATTTTCAAATCGGACCAGCTCACGTAAATCATAATATTTCTGTAATGTTTTGGTGGACGTCTTCAAATATAATAGATTTTGTAATCCCGGCGGAAAAACCGCAATTTTTTTTTAGTGACGCAGTGTAATGTATGTATGTACGCTGTCATTGCTATCCCAGCTTGTCTTTTCATACTCTCTTCGGTTTTTTTTCGAATACAATCGCTGTTTTTTTCGCTTTCACAAGTGAACATGTAGTTGCTGTGCTCGCTAAAGAAGTCAACGCCTCGGGCAGTTATGCGGAGGCAGCAGAGTTAAGCGCAAAGGAGTGGCCAGGTATGTAGTTAGCGAAAGCAAAAACAAAATGCTAAAATAAAACACACAGAAAAAAAAACGATAGTCGCGTACAACATTTTTGGCTGGTAAAATGAAAATGAGTTTACCATCAAAACCGCCATGCATGCACCGACACACTTTTACCAACTAAAAATTCTTTAAATAAAAACCAACGCACACATACATATGTACATACACACCGATGCAGTTTTGTTCCGTATATTATTGTTTTTCCTGTGGTCGCCCCTTTCTCACAACTTGTTTTTTTATTTTGTTAAGTTTTTTCTTTTTTGCCTGTCAACATTTTCTTTTGTTTTTTTTACTTTCTTGCTGGCTTGCTTGTTTACTCGCCTCATGTTGCATGCTGCACGATGCTGTTGCACTCGCCCATTTTCATGGATTTCGTAAGTGTGTGCAGCATGCTTAAGCGCTACGTATCCTTGTAAGAGCAGTAAGTGTGTGCATGTGTGTGTGTTCTTGAGGTTGTAAATGTAATTAAATCTCCATTAAATAATGTTTACGTGCCCCACATTACAGCTGCAGTGCACTCAAACAAGCGCAAGCACAAATGTATGTGCATACATATCTACTCGTTCACTTACTTGCAACTTGGCCATTTACAAGCCATAATGCCTGTACGCGTACTGAGGTGTGTGTGTTTGCGCGTTGATGTTCGCCTGTGTTTGTGCACACATTGTACATTTGTAGGCTCACTTTGCTAGGGCGCTCATTAAGGAGCAACGCTTTAAGCCAAGCGAACAATAAAAAGGCTTGACAAAATTAAAAAATACCTGCAGCGTACTGTAATTTGCGATGATTTTGCGTAAATTCGACTTGAGGTAATTTTCAGTTTAATTTTCCAGAAATTTAACTGTCACTCAACAGTGGGCATGATATATAGTGTACAGAGAAAAATATGACTCTTAGAAAAAAGACGATTGTCTCTATAAAAGGTTTATATAGAAATTTATTTTGAAGTTGAAGTGCGTACAATTGCTCAAATTTCAAATTAGTTAAAATAAGACGAAAAAAATCATTTCAAAATTACACCAATACAAATTCATATGAGGAAGAAGGTAAAGTTGAGTATGTATAAGAAGAAAGGGATGAAGGCAAAGATTAAAATAAAAGTTTGCAAACTTATATAAGGATACTAGCGTGGGTCGAAACTAACAAAACTATTTCTTAGCTTACTTCGATTCTACTCAAAAAAAGGTCCATATACCAAATTATGTAGGACTAAAACTTTCGAAGATACATAATTGCAATTTTAGTAAAAAAAAATGTATTCATCAATGTATTTATTAAATTTTATTTTTTGAGCACATAGAAGTCCCTCAAACTTGGCGAGATATTGACCAAAAATTGTCATCTTTCACACAGATTAGTTTTAGAGCATAATGAACCATATTTTTGCTATTACCAATCAAAATTCCAAAAGAAGAAGATAAGAATGAAAACATAAACATAAAGATAAAAAAGTTAGAGACAAAGGTAGAGACAAAGGTAGAGATAGAGAAAGTGACAGAGATGACGATAGAGACAAAGAAAGATGCCACTTAGGAACGAGATATGTTATATTATGTTATGTGTTCTTGTATTATGATATGTTATATTATACTATGCTCTGTTATTATATGTAATGTTGTCTTATTATGTGTAATGTTATGTTATAGTATGATATGTTTTATTATGTTATGCTATGTTGTATTAAGCTGTGCTCTATTTTTAAACAAATTTCACCTGAATCCAACTCAACTCACTGGAAATCACCTCAACTCCCCTCATATCACCTCGATTATCCTCACATCTACTCTTTTTAGGTCACCTCAACTCACCTTAACTCACCTCAGCCGAATTCCCCTCATTTCACCTCAACTCAATTCACTTCGCCTTACTTCCACTCACCTCAAATCAAAAATTTATCCACCTAATGTTATCAGATCAACTCACTTTACCTTACCTCCACTCACATCACTTCAGCTCAACTTAAACTAACTAACCAATGGGGTAAGCCAAAGGTAATGGTGACAGTAATGGTTATGGTAAAGGTAATGCCAATTGACATACTGATAGCAAGAGGAGCAGCTAGTACTAAAATCCAAAAGGGGATTGACTTATTTTACACGCAGCTATTACAAGCTTCTGGCCATTTTACAAGACTTGAAACTTCACTATCGGGTTAATACGATAGGTGGCACAGGTGTCGAGATATTAAAAAAAAAAAGGAATTTATAGACTGATTTGGTTCATATTTAGAACGTATGTTAACTACATGCAATGACTACAAGGAATGACTCCATAACGACGATAGGTGGCGCACGACTCGAAATATTTGGTAAACCATACTAATGGTCCGATTTCGTTCATATTTATAAAGCTTGCTTTACACATATTTGTTTTTACTATTAATATATTTTTGATAAAAAATAAATATCCAATTATGCTAAACTAGCACAATTAATTTTTTAGAATAATGGTATATATATATATTTTCTTTAATCTATTAATATAGTAATATTCGTAATTCTTACGAAAAATTTGATAATTCTTTGAAAGCTCCACTATGATTATTTTTCGGGCTCTCTGTTCTTATATTTTACGCAAAATAGTAAAATTTTTCAAAAGGTGGCAGCCATCTTAAGATATGTCCCATTTATATTACTATTTTTTTTTTACGTCGCTCTCTTATTTCTGTATTAATGGAATTTTCTTTGTCATAAGCTATACTTTATATATGTAAATACTAGTATTTACTGATTATAACCAAACATTAAGTTATTGTAGTGTGTTGGTGAATCCAACCAGTTACAAACATTTTATATACAATCTGGCTTTTTGTTCGCATTTGCCAGAAAGATTTTCATACCATTATCTAAAAATCATGACAAACGACGTCAAAGAACGTAATTAATCTGATTTAAAAAAAAAATAGAACGTACTGTGAATTCGTTAGTAATTATATGTACATACATACATACATACGTACATACACGTAATCAACTCAGCGTTGATTCAACTCATTACATTTCGCGATTGAGTTACACAGTCAAATACATATGTATGTACATATATACACACTAGGGGTATTCACGATTCGGTGCATTCTGTCTGGCATGCTGGATAATTAGCATAAAAAGCATGATTCGATAATTTTGTTGTTCTTTCCTGTATTCAAATATGCTATCTATACACAATGCTAGACAGTATGCACCGGATCGTGTATACCCCTAATATAAGTTAATACATATGCAAAGCAAAAAAAAGAACACATAAAGAAGACATGCAAATGGATGAAAGTTGTGACACATTAACAAAGTTGTAAATATAAAGTCAAGAGATGAAATGAACGCGATATTGTGAGCTAAATGTATTTGTATGTACATATGATATAATAAAGAAAAGCGCTGAGAAGCCAGCAGTTTGGTTATTTTTTTTAAGTGGGGAAAAATCCTAGATTTTTAAAATCTACTAATTATTTAAACACTTTTGTCCCGCGACGCTGAGTGCTTCAAAAACACGTTTTAAAATGAATGGAAGAAATGTAGCAAATTCTTTAATGCATCTGAAATTTAAATATTTGTTTAAATTACTATGCCGTTTAAAAGTTTTGCAGATCAAAAGCGAACACCACTAAACATTCGATACCATTTGTATGTATTTGCTTTGTTTTTTTTTTCTGTGTGTATATTTGCATAAAATCGTAATTGGTCATATACAAGTATATGTAAGGGTAGCACGCCCCGTTTTTTTTTTTTTTTTATCAAACACTTGCATACTTTCTCAAGATCTGCACAGTTTTAGCGCATATGTGCCAACCCCGATGAGTCACATCAGTGACAACTAAAGTTGCCCTAAAGTGCAGCAGCTTAAGCAGCTTAGGGAAAGTGTAAAAATTAGAAGCGGGAACAGCCAATTAATAAAAAAAAGAGCATTTGCACCAATGCATCTCCAGCGCACCCTTACTGCATGCAACCCACTGCGTGCGTGTGTCTTTCGTTGGATTATTTTGTGTACTTGCAGTTGTGTTTTACAAATTGCGAACAATGTACGCTTTAGCGAGATTTAACTCACTGCACATAACATAAGCAAGTAAATACTTTAACGCTTTTTGACATTCGTGACAGAGAATAGATAGGGCACTTTAATGCGCAACGACACATTGCGAGTATTAGTAAGCGGGAGAGGAAAGGGTCGATCGTACACATACCTATAAACATATGTACATATATTTAATAGAAAGAACATTTTTAAAAAGAGGACTCAAATACGCCAAAAATACATATTTATGCATGCATATTTTTCAAAGAAATGTCAAAGAATTCTTCAAAACCAAACATATTCTAAGCAGTCAGAATGCATAATATGTATATTATGAGCCATTCTTTTTTGAGTCTGAAGGATTTCGTAAAAAAAATGATATTATGTCTCCGATCCGGTTGAAACTTTTTTTATGACTTCTATACACGTATACGCGTATAACACGTATTCGAGGATTTTTTTTTTAATATTTTCTTCGGAGAAAGCTTGGATTTTTTCGTGATTCTGAGTAATCGTGTAATTCTTCAAATCGTTATATCTTGGGTTCTGCTCATCGTAGAGACTTCGTTTTAAAGCTAAATAAATGGGCTTAATGTTTCTATTTATAAGTGGTCGTGATTATCCTAAAGCTAACTTAGCTATTAACAGTTAAATTTTTGAAGTTGATTTGTATAGTGAAGACCAGTTAATTAGGGACTGAAAATTATACCATCGTAATCCTTGTTTGATTCTCAATAAAAAAAACATGGTTCGAAAAATGGGCTTTTTGAAAAACTATTTTTTAAATATATTTTTTTTATGGCGAGTCAACAATTTTTTATAATTTGTTTCCGAAAAATTATGATGACATATAAATATTTAGCAAGGGGTTAAAATCGGGTTTTTGCAAGAATTTAAAAAGATAAAAAGTTTTCATAGGCATTGCAATTTCTTTTTATATTTAAAAACACCGCCAAAATATTGCGGAAACATATTTAGATTTACGTGAGCTGCACTGAGTTCAAAATATCCCCAAAAATCCATTTTTTAATAAAATTTTATTGTTTTTAAAAAATCATCTTACTCGAGAATTACCATTCAGCTTAAGCTTAAAAGGTCTGCTCAAAAATGTTTAAAAAGTTGTTCAACGAAATAAAAAAATGAGATTTATGGTATTATTTTCAAATTGATCCAGCTCACGTAAATTTTAATATTTTTCCGAAAAATGTATATATTTATAATTAAAATGGGCAAGCAATACAGAATTGTTTTTTTTTTGCATAGGGAGTGATTCGCTCTAATGTAGTACATACATACACATAAGTATTTGGCCGAGCTTCTTCTCCTAATTGTGCTTTGTGCAAACAGAGGGACCTGCGGTTTTACGCCGCCTTCGAACGAAAGGGATCGAACCCAGGTCCTACATAGTGATAGTACGCGCGCCTCTTATCCCTTAGCTACATCGGTCGACGAGTATCAACCAAATAAGCTACACCGGAACAGGAAAATTAGCAAGCGAAAAAATTGCTCAACAAAAGAATACAATTACAGCACACAAATTAGGGGCCAACAAAAAGCGTGCGCAGCAGAAACTCTGATGTCCCTGCGGTAAACAAAAGCTTGATACACGAAAGCATATTGCTGAAGAGTGACTTTGAACTCCGCATACTTCAACGGGCAAC